CCCAGAGGCCAGGCTTTTGCCTGGGTGTGTAGCATCTTGAAGAGAAAAAGGGGTGGATAAGACAGAAGGTGGGGCAGGGTGTGTGTGTAGCGTGGAGCTAGCTAAATCTCCTCACTTCCAGGTCAGCCAAAGCAGCCTCACCATGCTGTCTTCACCATCACCGGGCCAGCAGGTGCAGACCCCACAGTCGATGCCCCCTCCCCCACAGCCATCCCCACAACCTGGCTCACAACCCAACTCCAATGTCAGGTAGGCTGCTGGGGATGCACACAGCCCCCTCCTCCCTCTGCTCCAACCTCAGAGCTGGCATGGTGTTCTGGGCTCAGACCTGTTTTTATTCACCTGGCTGCAGCTCCGGCCCCGCCCCATCCCCCAGCAGCTTCCTGCCTAGTCCCTCACCGCAGCCTTCTCAGAGCCCAGTGACAGCACGTACCCCGCAGAATTTCAGTGTCCCCTCTCCTGGACCTTTAAACACCCCTGGTAAGTTGGGCCTGGGCTGTTTGGACAGCTCTACAAGGTGCCTAATGCCCCTTCCCCTCCCAAGGTCTCAAACTGTGTAAAGGGCTCATGGGACCCTCGGACCTGTTGTGACACCTGCCCCACAGGTTGTAGCCATCCATCTTACCTCTCCTGTCTTCTCCAGTAAACCCCAGCTCTGTCATGAGCCCAGCTGGCTCCAGCCAGGCGGAAGAGCAGCAGTACCTGGATAAGCTGAAGCAGTTGTCCAAGTACATCGAGCCCCTGAGACGCATGATCAACAAGATCGACAAGAATGAAGGTAGGCTGGCCCAGACTAGGGCAGGGCGGGGCTTCCAGGGCCTGCTTCTTAGTGTCCCTCTCTCCCAGACAGAAAAAAGGACCTGAGTAAGATGAAGAGCCTGCTGGACATCCTCACTGACCCCTCTAAGCGGTGAGCACTGCTCTAGGGCCCTGGGCAGGACTGTGCTATACCGCTATACTGCCATACTGCTCACAGACAGTCCCCAAGACTTGGTGACAAGGTGGCTTTAACAAAGGGTCCGGCAGCTCTTTGGCCCATACATGAAATACAGACGGCTTCACAAGTAGGTGTGTGCCAAAACTTCAACCCTGCCTGCACCATCCAGCACCTACCCCTCAACCCTGTTCAAGGCTTCTTGGGCCTCACATTTCCACCTGTCACTGTCAGACCATAGTTCATGGGCCACTATAGTCCTGGCTTGTAGTGGCCCCACCTTTAACTACCTATGACTGGCTAGCTGAGTCTGCCTTTGAGCTCTCCCTGACTTGCCAGTGACCTTTGGCAGACAGCTGTGTCTCGCTTACCCCATGGGCTGTAGGCCCAGCTGCAGCCATGTGCACAAGTTATAAAGATGAACACTGGCTGCCAGGCTTCCAGCTTCTGCCTACCAGCCACAGGGTGTTAACACCAATGTTCAGGACTGTGTGCATGGGTGTATCTCCACACCCACTGAAGTGTCACAGCTCAGCTCACCTTAGACTCTGCTATCCTTCAGGAGGGTCCTCCCAGCTGTCTGTCAGTCACTGCTGGGTGGGCCTGTTGGAGCAACACAGTCCTCCAGAGCCAAGATGGGCCCAGAGCTGGCCTGGGTGAGATTGAGACCCGACTTGCTGGGTCTGTTCTGGAAGAAGCTAGTGGGCTGGGACTCCTGTGATGGTTTCCAGTGGCCAAGACCCCAGAGGCTGCCTGGATGATGATAGGAACTAGCACCCAAGGATCACCTGGTCTAGCCCTTCAGCAGTGTCAGATCATGTGCCTCTCCTTAGGTGTCCCCTGAAAACCCTGCAGAAGTGTGAGATTGCCCTGGAGAAACTCAAGAATGACATGGCAGTGGTGAGTGGAGCCCAGGACCCTCCCTGTGGAAGGAGTTAGCGCTGTCAAGGACAGAACCTGACCTGGAAATGCTCCCTAAGGGAGCGAGAAGGGAAGAAGTCACAGCCCCCAGTCCTGTGTCTGCCAGCTCTGTTCGGGGTGAGGGTACTGGGGTGGGAGTGAGGCTGCAAGGTTGGAGATAGGTTCAGAGTCAGCCATCATTGTTTGCACTCCATCAGGGTGGGGGCTGTTGAGGACCCTGGGGTCTGGAAGACCCCTCAGAATGATGAGGCCTTGAGCCTAGGACACTGACCTTGTCTCCCATCTTGTCTCTAGCCCACACCCCCACCACCACCAGTTCTCCCAACCAAACAGCAGGACTTGTGCCAGCCACTCCTAGATGCAGTCCTGGCTAACATCCGTTCGCCTGTCTTCAACCATTCCCTGTACCGCACATTCGTGCCAGCTATGATGGCCATCCATGGCCCACCTATCGTGTATGTACACCCAGGTTGGGCCTAGTGATAAGCAGCCGGCCAGAGGTTGTGTGACATCTGCATAATCACTTTAGTCCCCTCCTCCAGGTCCCCAGTGGTGTGTTCCCGGAAGCGCAGGTTTGAGGAGGATGAGCGGCAGAGCATTCCCAATGTGCTGCAAGGTGAAGTAGCCAGGTTGGACCCCAAGTTCCTGGTGAACTTGGACCCTTCTCACTGTAGCAACAACGGCACTGTCCACCTGATCTGCAAGCTGGGTGAGTGTCTGGGGACGGGGTGAGTGCTTACCATCCATGCTGGAGGCCAATCACCAGGGCCTTCAAGCCGCACACCTGCAGACTGCCCTGTGCTTCCATGGCCTGCCACACTGCTGCTCTAGCCTCACTTTTCATTCCCTGACCCAACTCCTCAGATCCTCCAGCCCCTAAGTCACAAAGGTAGCTGTGGTTGCTAGAGGCCCTGGGGAAACAGCTGGCAGGATCCTGTCTGCACAGGTGCTTCCTGGCTTTAGAGCCTGAGAATCTTTAGAGCCTCTGGGTCTGCAGCAGGCTTCAGTGGAACCCTGTGGAGAACAGAGAGCCCTTTCAGGAGCAGGCTGAGCTGGGCAGGGTTGTGTTAGTGTTTGCCAGGCTTTTGGCCAGGTCATATGTGCAGTTTTTGTGTCACAGATGACAAGGACCTCCCTAGTGTGCCACCACTGGAGATCAGTGTGCCTGCTGACTACCCTGCTCAGAGCCCAATGTGGATCGACCATCAGTGGCAGTACGGTGGGTGAACCTAGAGAAACCATCTGGAGACCCAAGGCAGGCAGGGGTCGTCTCTGGGTATTCAGTGTCCCTATACAGCAGAAAGATGCTTCCCATCTCCCCAGTGGGCAGGGTAGGCTCACAGCAGTTGCCTGGAGATAGAAGAGCCACTGTGTCCTTTACTGTCCCTTGTAGAGTTCCAGGGCACCTGTCAAGTGGGGGAGGGCAGTCAAGTTCATGATACTCCTTTGGAGCTCTACAAGGTGACCCAGGGCCACCAGCATGAGCTCATGCAGCTCCATCTGTGTGATAGGGCTCCAAGGAGAGCCCCTTGGGTGGGAACAGTACCCCATACGACATACGAATTCCAGTTTTTAACTGAAAGTGTGACTTGAAGATCCCACCACCATGGAGCGCTGGGGACTAAGGAATGGTGCTCCTTCCCAGAAGTGGGGCAAGAGCTGACTCGGGCGGTGGCTGCCTCACCAGGCTTGGCCCTCACAGCTCCCGCTGCTGTGTTACAGATGCCAACCCCTTTCTGCAGTCAGTGCACCAGTGCATGACCTCCAGGCTGCTGCAGCTCCCTGACAAGCACTCAGTCACAGCCCTGCTCAACACCTGGGCCCAGAGCATCCACCAGGCCTGCCTCTCAGCCGCCTAGCGAACCTGAACTTCTGGCTACAGATTTTACACCACCTACCAGACGTTACTAAGCATTGGCTTCTTCGAGGGCCTGGGTTAGGTTAGCTTTCCTGCTTTTACTTTCTGTCTTGGGGGCCTGCCACATGTTCCCCATGCTTTGTGCAGTATTGGCCAGATAGCTGTGGAGCTGACTGCATGAGGGCCTACGGTGTTCCCAGGAAGGTTTTCCATGGTTTCTTCCAGAAGTCAGGCCCCACACTTCCTACAGCCATGCTTCCTACAGCCCTTCTGGACTTCATGTACACTCAGTAGCATGAGAACTCAGGTCCATCTAAGCGTCTCTGTGTCACAGTACCATTGTACTTGTGTCTGGAGAATGGAGGACATAGGAAACCCTCACTAGACACAGTTCCCCAGCCACAGGCATGTGGACACATCACAGGAATACTTCTGCATCGAGGGCACAGGTTTCAGTTTGAAGGAAAGGCCAGTGAGGCAGCAGCAGGTTCTCTGCTGCTAGCAGGACTTCCCCAGAGTGCTGTTGGGAGGAGGGCCAGCTGGGGTGGGTAGGGGCTGTCCCTGTGTTAGTGCTATGAGACATGACTGTCATTGGGACCCACAGCCTCAGAACACCATATTCTTACTCTCTCCACCACCAGGAGTACGGGCTTCCTTCAGAGTGCTGTGGCCGTAAGGCACCTGCCACACTGGGCAGCAATGGGTAGAGCTCTGATGAAAAATTTCCCTTTTTATATGTGCACTACTCTGTCATATGATTCTTATAATAAATTTATTATTCCTGTGTTTGTCAGGAGTTGGCTGCATTTACCTTTTTGTGAGTCTGGGCCCACTGTTATGGTGCTGTCTGTCGTGGGAGACTGGGCTTAATCCACTTGCTGACATTGTATCCTGATTCAGGCCCCGGGCTTGGTCCAGTTCTACTGAGGTTAATACAGGGAGTGGCAGTGGTGCTGTGAGGTCTGTGCTGCTGGGCAGGAGTAGGCATAAGTTGACCTCTTCTGGGTTGCAGCAGCTGCTCTGGGTTAGTGTGACCTGGAGAGGACAGTTCTCCCTCAGCTGTTGTCCTGGGATCCCCCAAACAGCTCAGTGCAGCCTGATTGTTGTCCAGGCAGTTCAGGACAGTGTCTTATTTGAGAAGTGATGCCTTCAGGCCAGTCCAGTAATGAAGCCAACTGGCTCCAGAATGCCATTGAGACTGCTGGTGCACCTGGCTGCCTAGAGAGGGCACTTCCAGAGCAGGAGGGATACCTGGCAACTGTGAGGAAGGAGGCTTAGGACTTGGAGAAACAATTTTTATTTTCATTCAACAGGTGAATAACATTTTATAATGTGCTTTTGCATAAATGCAGTAGTAAAATAATAGAGAAAATAGACAGTTTCCTCAGTTCTGAATGCAAGTACTTTATCTATCATGGGTTCTGTCTGCCTTGGAATTTCGTGTGGCTGAAAAATAGGGTTGTTGTGAACCACCATTGAGAGAGGACGGCCGGACTCCGGGGCGCCGGCTCAGCAGCACGGAGCGGTGCAAGCGCCGACTCTGCACCACTTGCAGCCTCTTCTGCCGCTCAGCAAAGTTGTTTTTCAGGCTTTGTTTGAGTGCAGGCAAGATGGCCCGCTCTGCTGCAGGCATTGGGCTCAGAATTAGGCTGGGTGGAGGAAAGGACAGTCATGACAAGCAGCCGCCAGCTGCCTCAAGGGTGCCCTGGAATTAATGGCTGTGCTGGGAGCAGGGCCTGCCTGGCTTTACTCTGGACACCCTACCCTCCTGTCCCTTGCAGCATCAAACTGGGGGTACCCACTCCACTCCCTGTGCCTGGGACTCACCACTTCTTAGAGAGGCCCTTGGCAGTGACCTTGGGGAACTGCGTGGACTCCTGGTCCCTGGGAAAGGAAGTTAGCCATGAGGCCCACACCTCCTCTGGGCTGGGGCAGGGTGCCGGGCACAAGGCACTCACTTTGGAGAGCCCAGCCCAGCCTCCTCGGCTGCAGCTTTGGGCCTTTGGGTCCCTTCCAGGAGTGACTTGAGGTGCTGTAGCTGAAAGGCAGGGGAAGACATGGTGGGTACAGTGTCCTGTGCCACTGGCATTAAGGGTCACATGCCTGCCCAGGGCCTCACCTCCTGGGCCTGCAGGAGGTTGGCGTTCCACAGCTGACGGATGACCACCTCACACTGCTGCACTGTGGTGGGCTTGCGCAGGTGCGGGGGCAGGCTCAGTAAGGGGACCATCCCTGTCCCTTGCCGGCCATGGCTGCCCCCCACCAATGTGGCCCCTGAATTAGAAGGCTCTGCATCCTCGTCTCTGAAACATTACAGCAGCCCAGAGGCGACCTGTGGGAATGAATGGTCTAGCCACCCACCCACAACCTCCCTGGGGCAGCACTCATGCCTGCCAGTGTGGATGAGGCCTATTTCCATGACCCACTAGCCAGGGTGCTCTGCAGCCAGCTTTGACCCAGGTCTGTCTCTTCTCCTGCTGTATTGAGGAGGCAACCAGCTGGCTGCCAGGTAACCCCACCCAGCATGCTTCTTGCCCAGAGTGGATCCAGGAGTTGGGGCTTCAGAGAAGTAGGCGCCTGACTTCTGGGGAAAGTGGGGTCGCAGAGCTTGGTCTTGCTCTGTACTGTTAGCTCGTGCCTCCCAAAGGCAGACTGATCAGACATGTGCCTGCTCCAGTCTTGTCAGGCCCAGGGATCCAACTCAAGTGTTCTTGGTAAAAACAAACTAATAACCAGGTGTGGTGGTACACACCTGTGGTCCTCATTCTTAGGAGGCAGAGGCAGGTAAAGAAAGGCCTGCAGAGTACGTTCCAGGCCAGCCAGGACTGTACATCAAGACCCAGGTCCCCCATCCCACCCCCCTCCCAGCAAACTAATTAGGAGGCCACATCACATTTTTTTTCTCTTCTCTGAGAAAACAGTAATTTAGGGGTTTCCACTGGTCCCCTGTAGATGAGGTCAGCCAGGGGTCTTGGCAGGACCCCCCACCCCAGGGGAGAGAAGAAAATAGTGTCCAGTAGATGGACAGCAACCCGACAACTGGCTGCTCCCTGGAGCCTATTTTCATCATAATGGAGTCAGGTCTGTGGAGACAAGGTAGCCTGCTGGTCCCAAGGGGAAACCTAGTTAAGGGTAAGCTTGGGGCCCTTGGGGTGCAGGGCTGGTTCTCAGGTGCAAAGCAGGCCTTACTTGGCCTGTCCCTGTGCCCCCAGGGCTCTGTCCAGCTTGCTGCTGTGGAACAGGGCAGCACTGCTGAGTGACTGTTCTTCCAGGTCTGTCTTTTGGAGGGCGTCAGACTTCAGCTCTTGCTTCTTGAAGGAGGTGGGCTGGGGCCTGGTCTTGCCTTGAGAGTTGGCTGCAAAGCACACCAACAGGGCCATCATAAAGGGCCTTGGAAGCCACAGACCTATTCTCTAGGCTCAAACAATGTACCCAAGAGGCCCTCTGCTGTCCTGAAGAGAGAGAAACTCTCCAGAGGGCTACAGAGAGTGAAGCCTGTGGTGGTGCCTGCTGAACGTGCCAGAAAAATCAGTGGTGGATGCTGGCTTCTTTTGGGTAGAAGAAACTGTAGAGGCCTGGGATCTGGCGTGTATGTGTTTATTTTCCAAAGCCTGCTAGTCAGCTGGGGCTGCTTCTAGTGAAGGCATCTAGCCTCCTCTAGGAGGTGAATGGAAGGACAGGCTGGGCAGGGGGTCAGGGCTGTGGGTGGAGCGGCATACCCTCCTCCCACAAGGAAATGGGCTGGGGACTTATTGCTTGAGTTCCTCTGTAAATGATACAACTACTCACTACCCTACCTGTGTGGGCCTACTACATCATCTGGCTGTACCACACTGACAGCCAGACCTCCCCTCAAGGGCTCCTGGCCCACAGTCCCCTTTCTGGTTGTTTCTGTACACAGGATATTGGGACTGCCCCCCTTTACCACAGAGAAGGGTTTTCAACTCTAGGCTGCCCCAGTCTGGGTCCCTTGCTCACTGGATGCTGTGGAGTTGGTGGTGGACTTGTTGGAGTGAAGGCTGGATGTAGAGACGCTGCCTGTGGAGGGAAATGCAGGGCTCAGCCTGAGAGGAAACTGACCCTTCATGCTCAAGCAGGGCCTCCCCAAGCCTGGCAAGGCTGTGTTCCACATTACCTTACGGTAGCTACACACCTAGATGAGCCCCCACAGGAGCAGTTACCTCTGGAAAGGCTTCTGCAGGGGCCAGCTGCAAAGCAGAGGACCTGTGACCAAAGGAGCAGCTGGCCCTGAGGCAGGTCCTGGACCAAGCACAGCCTCCACTCCCACCTCTACGTCCTGACAGGGCCACCAGGAACTTCACTGGTGGGGCCACCAACTTGGGCTGCAGTGGGCTCAAACAGTATGCCAACTCATGCTGCTGTGCTGGAGAAGAGCCCTCCCACCACTGCTCTCTGCATGTCTTCATGAAGAGCAAGCCTGGGCATGCCAGGATTGGAATATTTCCAAGCAAACATCTTTAACAATCAGATCACCAGATGACCTGAAAGCTTACTAGAGAAGAGAACCTTGGAACTCAATTGATGTGCCCTTGGGCTGTGCTGTTGGAGGACCGACAAGATGAAGCCACTATGGGCAAGTGGAAGGTTCTCAGATCCCTAAGGTTGCTGTGGAGATGGCAGGAAGGAGTCCCCAAAGTGACAATCACCTCACTGTGGTGATGGCACCACAGCAGCCATCAACTTCCCAGAGTAATGAGGTCCAGGGGATGGAGGCTGCCACAGCCACTCCTATTTCAGGAGTTCTGCTCAGCAGAGAGAGGGTCTGCAGCCTCCCTACTGTTCCTACTATACAGACCTCATCATGCTTTTGGTGCTGAGAGCAAGCAAGCCAGCTGTGGCTGGGGAAAGTGGCATGTGTCCAAATGCCCAGAACTGGGCCCCCCCTGAGTTAGCATGCAGGGCTTGGTGTTGCCACATGAGCACGAGTGCTAAGTGGTAGCTCCCAGCAAGCAGCTGAGTCCTACCTTTTTTCTGAGGCTTCTCATTCATGATTAGCTTGTAGTGGAGTTCTGAAAGCAAGTAAATACTCATTATCACACCTAAAATCTACAGCCACTCGAAACAGAAATGTGGCCTCTTTCCATGGGTCCCACCAGCTTTTTCCACCAAGCCTTGACCTCAGGCACCTCAGGTCAGAAATGCCTCTGGCTGATCCCTGTCATCCCCAACAAGGAGCCTATCCACTGGGCCAGTCAGGGACAGGAGCCCCTAGCAATGGGTTAGTGGGGTGTGACATTCAGACACAGGGAGAACCTCAGGAAAGCATCAAAAGAGGGTCCTACTGTAGTAAGGTGCCCAGAGAGGATCTTCGGCATTCCAGGAAGAGAGCACAGGCCCTGGGTGGGAAGAAGCTGAGGAGCGCTAGCTAAGGTGTGAGGCAGACTGAGGAGCCCGTTCATGTCACACAGAGGCCTGAAGTTCTGAGAGGTGGAAGGGATGTAGGGCAGTATCCAAGCAATCCCTGCCTATGATCTTTATGCTATTAGTTGGTGACCATTTACTTGCACTTGCTTTGCTGTTTAACTTCCGCAACGGTTTTAGAAAAACGAGGTGGGCCATACCCTGCTCTGGGCAGAGTGCACAAGAGGGTCAGCGTCTGTCTGGGCTGGTGGGCACAAAAGGACCACACGAGGACCAAGCCTGTCGGCGGGCTCTACTAAAGAGAAGCCGCCCACGTTCTTCTCCAAGACTGTTCAGAGTTGATGGCCGTGGCCTTAGCGCTGTAAATGCCGGGCCAGCACCCAGGGGCTCACCCTTGTTCTCCCGCTTCAGGTGCTCTATCTCCTCGTGGAGTTTGACCAGCGTCTCCGAGTGCTGCTGCTGTAGAAACTGCAGACTCTTCTCCAGGTCCAGGATCCGCTTCTGTGCCTCGTTGATCC